GCTGATTAATTGTAGTGATTGAAATATCCTGAGACTAGCAGAATTGTCCAGCTGAACCCATCAGAAATTGCTAATTCTTAGAAATGTGAGCTAAATAAATGAATAAATGTGCTTTATTTTAAGAAAACTAGTTTTGGAATTGTTTTCTTTTTCAGCAATAGCTGTTTTTTTTTAAGCAATAGCTAAATATTTCTAACTTTTCATGTAAAATTTCCTAGTACATTTTGAATTTGGCATATCTCTTGTAAGTAGCATATAACAGTCTATTTTTAAAATAAAATATCTTTAAAAATGATATTTAATCTGTGACTATGGTATATTTGAACTACTTTCTACTTCAAATAAAATTGTCATTGCTTCTATTTTGCATCTTTTATTCTACTTTCTGACCTCTGTTCTACTGATGAAATGTTTTATTATTTAACTTTTTAAAAATCTCTCCTTGCTTTGGAAATTACAGACTCGTATTCTATTAACTATTATTCTAGTGTTAACTCTTCAAGTTTTAACATTTGAAATGAAATGTTAATTGCAAGGCTTTTTTGTCTATTATTTCTTGCAGAGATCCTGAAGGCAAAGATTAATACAATATTTGCCAAAATGTAAGTAGCTAAAAATTTAAAAGTTTCTTTTCTTATACATTGGAAAAAAAGTCTTTAATAACTGTCCTCCCTTAATTCCTGATAGCTTACCACTGCTAACTAAATATAGAGAATGTTGACAATAGGAAATTCTTTTCCTTTAGCAGTTTGAGCATATAATTGTTATCAACTTCTGTCATCTATTTTTTTCTTTTTTAACAGGAATCTACTTTAGATCTAATTATTACTGCTTTTTAAATATTCTGCCTTTTCCTTTTGATTAAATATTTTTTCTCTTTATCTTTGAGGTTTAGCACTTTTAAATTGGCATATTCAAGTATAGATTTGATTTCCTGCTTGCCTTTGGGTGTTCTTTTTTTTTATATAATAGCCAATTTTTAAAAATAATTAATTAATTTATTTTTGGCTGTGTTGGGTCTTTGTTGCTGCATGCAGGTTTTCTTTAGTTGTGGTGAGTGGGGGCTATGCTTCATTGCAGTGCGTGGACTTCTCATTGTGGTGGCTTCTCTTGTTGTGGAGCACGGGCTCTAGGTGCATGGGCTTCAGCAGTTGTGGCAAGTGGGCTCAGTAGTTGTGGTTCATGGGCTCTAGAGCGCAGGCTTAGTTGTTGTGGTGCACAGGGTTTGCTGCTCCGTGGCATGTGGTATCTTCCCAGACCAGGGCTCGAACCTGTGTCCCCTGCATTGGCAGGCAATTCTTAACCACTGCACCACCAGGGAAGTCCCTGGTGTTCATGTTAATCGTGAGGGTCCACATATTTTCAACCTTGAAAAATTGTCATGCAATTTTATCTACATATATTGCTTGTTGCTACAATTTCTAATTCTTCCAAATATTTTATATTCCATATCTATTAAGTGTTCTCACAATTTTAAAAAATTTTGACATATCTAAACTTTGTTTGCTTGAATTAATGGATTTTACTTTTGACTTGTTAAATCTCTCTGTGTCCAGTCTAGAAGTAATGCAGTTTTTTTTGTTTTCTCTTTGTATCTGTGTGTGTGTATATAAAACATATACATATATACACACATATACATATATACATCATACATGTATATATACATATATGTTTACACATAAATTTTAAATGTATGGATAATTTATATCTATATAGTCTATATGTATAACTAAATCTATGTAATTTCTAGAAATAGTTCTATATACATTTCTATATATTCAATACCTATATTTTAATATATATCTTATGTATACATGACATATATACATACATATATATATATATAAACAAAATTTAAAATGTTAATTTCTGTATGTTTATATGTAATTATGTATATAACACTAAACATCTATATATTTTCATGTCATTTTATATACTTTTCTATCTAGGCAAAAACTGTAGTTTTATTTTAATAAGGATTTTAAAATTATTTTTATATAAATATTTTCTTTCATTGTCTCATTTCATGTAATCACTTCTCGGTCTTTTTTAAAAAAAATCTTCATTTTCTTAATTTTGAAAATGTTAAACATGCTAATATTCAAGTATTTTTCTGTTCATTTATGTATTTTGCATGATTCAGAGTGAATTCATTTTCTGATTTATTTCTTATTATTTATTGACTATCTTTTAATTTTTTGACTTTCAGATTTATCATACACAACAATATGCATTTCTCTCTGTCTAATTTTAGAAACAGCTTTTTGTCTCTACTCACTCTTTGCCATAAAGCAGTTTTGGAGATGCCACTAAACCAATGGCTTCCTGATCACTCATCTTGGTTTGGAGTCTCTGTCTGGCTTCTATTGTTCCCTGAATATTCATATTCACGTAAGCAGGGGGCACAGAAGAACAATGGTTTTAATTTTTTCTTCTAGATTTCTTTATGTTCTGGGGGCATGTAAATGTTTACTAACTCACGGAATGCAATGACCAAGTTGCAGGATCCAGTAGGCCTGGACTTGCTGACTCTTACTCTTTGTAGTTTGTTCTGGTTGTTGGCCACAGAGGTGTTTATGTACCCATGAATATATGTATATATTCATTTTGGTATGACTATTCCATTTTAAATTTCATCTTTATAAATTATTATCCATAACTGCCTTCTGTTTAGAGAAAAAGCCATCTTGACTCTTAATATTTATATTTTTTTTTTTTTTTTTTTTTTTTTTTTTTGCAGTATGCAGGCCTCTTACTGTTGTGGTCTCTCCCGTTGCCGAGCACAGGCTCCGGATGCGCAGGCTCAGCGGCCATGGCTCACGGGCCCAGCCGCTCCGCGACGTGTGGGATCTTCCCGGACTGGGGCATGAACCCGTGTCCCCTGCATCGGCAGGCAGACTCTCAACCACTGCGCCACCAGGGAAGCCCATTGACTCAATATCTTTATACAGCGCCATTAATTCCCCCAATGCTACAAAGTAGATATTTCAAACCAAAACTTAATGGATGTAAAAACTGAGGTTAAGAGAAGTTTGGTGGCTTGTCTTATCTAGCATAAACAAGGCTGTTTGCTCAAGCATGTGTTTTCACCTATGTGCTAGTATCCTGTTTTTAAGAACATTGCTGCTTTTTCTATCTGAAAGAAATTATTTGTGTTATATATAATTTCATCAATTCCCAAAAATGTTTAAAATAAATTAAATGAATTTTAAAATAAATTAAAACATCTTTACTCCCATACAACTGCCCACAAGCATCACATACTTGAGATGGCATAGCTGATTTAAAGCATTCATATATATGGTTAAAATAAATGTTAAAAAATTTACACCGGCATTATAAACACTTTCAAAAGTGTGTACATATTTGAGGGGAATTTTTTGAATGTGAGTTCCCAGCACTGGTATTGTTGTCATATAACTAAAATGAGACCTTTTGAATGTATTCATTAGTTAAATTGAGAAATTCCAGGCATATTAATCTTGAATGAAGGACTTTTAGTCACTAATATAGGTTTCAACAACAGTAAAATTCTCTTGTTTTTCTAAAATATTTCAGGAGTTATTTACATTAAATAGCTTGATTACAACACATCTTCAGATCTAAGTCAATTTTTATGTATAATATCATCAAATTAAAATTGCTTTTAAAATTTAAATAAATTTTAATTGGAATGGAAAAAATTCAACTGAAATATGATTTCTAAATATGTGTTTCTAAATATAGTAAATTTCAGTTTATTAAAGCAGAAAGTTGAATGCTCTCCAAATTATGCAATTATTTGAATATGGGAAAATATGAATTGATTTTCAGATATTTAGCATAGTTAATTATAATATTTAAATACATTTGGGATTGTAGGGTTGGATGTTCGGATGTAAATAAATGTTCAATAGTCAATTTAATACAATTTGTCATACACAAACATGGATAAATATGTATTGCCATAAGTACAGCTGACCACAGGGATAGTTAAACTGAGAGAGACAAACAAGCTTGGTATTTTTATATGAATTTTGTTATGGCCACATGCACAATTTAGTATCCCTGTTATGATTATTTAAGGAAGCTTAGGGATAATGGAAAAAATGTTTAGTGGGTTGTCATTTAGTGATTTTATTTTTGCTTGAATTTGAAAATGCTTCTACATGAAGGGTACAGAGAAGGAATTAACTACTTCAAAATGTACATGCTATTGTTTCTTTCATGTGATTCTGAGGCACGTCTTAAATCTTAAATAACAGTATATTCAGATATATGTGATCAAAAACTACTTTTGAGAAGAAGAAAGTTGATGCCAGTCAGAACACTGTACATATTGAGTGGCTTGTTGTTTCCCTTCCATACAGAAGAATGACTTTTACACAACTTTGCGGAATCTACCAAATCAGGATTCTAAATCATGGTGAATCTTCTCTAGTTATTATGTACTTTTTTCCCTACACAATAAGAAGGCTAAACAAAAATAATTCAAAAATTTCCACAGTGCTCTGTAATTATGCATATGTATCTACCCATATTTTGGAAAAATATTCATAATAACAAGGGGAAATATAATTTGTACAGCACATCTTGATAGCCTTGGTAAAGCAAGATGATTTCAAACATTGCAGTTCCTTTTCTAATGGTCCCTAGGACATATTTTTCATTTATCCTAATTTAAATTTTTTCCACCTCCTAGCAGTTGCAACAGTTCTCATAAACATGTTTGTCAGCTAAGATTTCTCTTAAAAGTTGCCCAAGAGCATATTACATGAACATTTCTTGTTTAAAGGGATGCTTCTGAATAAACTCATTGAAAGTTATTTGTACATATGGTTCAATTTTAAACACAAGCTATTCACGGATCATAACACATTAACATCAAACTGACTTTGAATGTTGATTTGCAAGCTGTTCATGAGTATATAAGAATAAAGCAAAGCTGCTCAGGCTTATTCCATATCAAGTCAAAGCAGATACCACAAAGATCAAAAAATATATGTATTCATGTTCACCTTCATTGTCCTTCAGAGTGAAGTTTGGGTTTATAGACAGATGCTCATCAAGAAAGAAGTTAAACCTTTGTCCATTGGCAAAATCATCCTTATCAGTGGCACTGATGGTATGAATAACCTAAAGAAAAGACAAAATTAAATAGTAAATTTAATTTGGCTTCGTCCCTTGATTTTAATATTATAACATTTTCAATATCCAACTTGAGTGTTTTCAAATTCTTATTCTAGTAAAGGTATGAGCTAATTTGCTCTCCCTTGCATTAGACTTTAAGAAATGTATTATGGCACACCATATAATCATTCACACTTTATTTTCTAGCATGGCACAAACATTTATTTTTTTTTCCTTTATTACCCACAGTACCTTGGGGCCAATTAGTTGTAAGGTTTTGTGTGAACGCTTGTTTAGGGAGACGTGAAATATGGTTTGTACAAATACCAATATTCCAGGGTTGATGTAGAACAGCCTTTCTGTACATGTTGGTCTCAGTCAGCAAATGAAAAAGCACTAGAGTCATAATTTTTTTGTTTTAGGAGACCTTTGGGATCATGATCCAGCCCCTGTATTTTAGAGATGAGGACTCTGAGTCCCAAAAAGAGTGTGATGTGCCTCAAATCTGTAAAAATCTGGCAGAGGTAAAACTAGACCACCCAGAACTTTAGGAAATTTTTTAATCCCTAGTGGTTGAAAGAAAGCAATACCCAAATTTGGACTTTACACACATTAAGAAACAGAGCAAGTTAGAATATATAAAAAAATATCCCAGGTAGCCTAAGAGCAGCATACACATTCCGATCGTTAGAGTCATTACAATCTTTAAAAGTAATATTGAAACAAACAAGCAAGATGATATTTTACTTTTGAAAAAAAATTAGTATCCTAATGCTCAAGTGTACTCTTTCTAGCTTTTCCTTAGAGAAATTGAAAACAGAGAGAAAGTAGAGCCAGAAAAATAGTATTTCCTGCATGTGAAATATAGTACGTGCATTTCAAAAATTGATATGATTTCTAAGAACATTTTACTCAGTTTCACCGTATTTCAATATTTTACAGGTGAGATAATCCACCAAAATGCATCATAGTTAAAACCTAAATTCCTCTCCAGGTACTGAGACTTAGCTTGTGAGGGAGACGAGGAGGAATATAAAGGTACTGAGAATGAGTGGTCAGGGAGAGTAGGAGCGGAAGAACATGTGTTTTCATGAAGTGAAAGTGAAGAAAGAGCTTCAGGGTATAAAAGTGACCAATTTCCTCCATATATGCCCATGGCTCATTCCTTATGCCCTTTCCCATCACCATTCAGAATTTACTTTCTCAGCAGGAGATCCTGGTGAAAGCCCCTCTCCCTACATATTCCAAGAAGTTTCTATCATTCTTCATTATTTCCCTCCATATTATTTATCTATGAACTGAAAATTTACATAGCTGCTGATTTTTTTTTTTTTCCATTGAAAGCATAACTAGTATCTGGACAGATCTTTTTTTTTTTTTTTTCTTGTTATTGCCTTTTGACTATAAATAGAATAAACTGATGGATAATCAGAAGCAATCTTTATGATATTTCTCAAGCACAGGAAAAGCTCCATAGCATTTAAAGTGTGCAAAATCTGAAGAACACAACATTTTCTACACGTTAGTTACTTAGTATCAAATTGAAATAAAATATCAAAATTTCAAGGTTCTTTTCAGGGTTAGATAAAACAAATACTGTCAGCCCTCCATGTCCGTGGTTCTGAATCTGTGGATCCAACCACCATGGGCCAAAAATATTTTTTAAAATTCCAGAAAGTTCCAAAAAGTAAAACTTGATGCCATGCTGTGGCAACTATTTAGATGGCATTTACATTGTATTTGCAACAATTTACATAGTATTCACATTGTATTAGGTATTATAAGATATTATAAGAGATGATTTAAAGTATATGGGAGGATGTGTGTAGGTTATATGCAAACACTACACCATTTGATATAAGGGATTTGAGCACTTGTGGATTCTGTTATCCTGAGGGGGGTGGGGTCCTGGAACCAATTCCCCACAGATTCTAAGGGACAGCCGTATAAATTTTTCTTTGGGAAAATAAATGTCTTCTCACTCTTATTCTTCATTCATTGTGATTCTCCAATTTACAATCCTATTTCCTCAGTGATACCTCATAACATACTGACACATTTGCAAGTTCACTTCTTATCCTAGAATGTAACTCTGGAGGGGATTGGTAAAGAACAATTAATTTAAATAAACTGAGCTATTTATGTTTTCTGTTATCAATGCTTTGGAACAATTTTCTTTTCTTCTCATTTCAAAGTTAATTTATCACTTATTTTAAATTTTCTTAAATTTTTACAAACATGAGCCTATTCAATTTGTTAAACACTGATATAATTCATATTATATTATGTTTACTATTTTTTTGTTATCTCTAAAATATAAATATCCCTTCCATTTTTATACAGGTAATTTCAAATCTCAATTTACCAGGAAGCTCACTTATGGCAAATTTTTCTTCCTCAGAAAGGGTTCTCAGTCTCATCTACATAGTAAATGATAAGTTGGTTACCACATTTTGTTTAAGAGTGACTGATTCATCTTGAACTTTTGTTGAGGTGTTGGACATGCATCTGTACTTAAATATTTTTCCATAATATTTCTGAGAGACGATTCTAAAAACCTAGTATGTTGGTCTTTTTTTTTTTTTTTTTTAATTTAGAACTCCTAGATATTCTCTTGTTGTTGAGAGAAGGTATATTCAATTTCTTTTTTGGTTGTTTTACTAATCACTTTTTCTCTTTCATTAGGAAATGGGATTTCCATTTGCTTCCTCAGACTTTTAATAGAAAACATACCTAAGAAGTTAACATGTTTATGATTTTTAGAAGATTTAAACTTCTGGCAGATATCAGATAGTTGCCATGTTTCCATTCATCAATATTTTCTACCATTTTTTCAGACTTATTGATTTATCTACACTGTGCTACCTGTGCTCTCTGTTTGTGCAGCTAGTTGGTGATGTATGATCCATAAAAAATTTATTTTCTGATTCTCTTTCCTTCTAACTGGACTCAAATGTCTTCTATCACTTGCACATTATGCAATAAGTACATAACGCATTTGATTATTTTGAAAGATCTGAGATTTACTCTAACAAAGGGAGAGAAAACTCAAATTGATTGATGGTATTTACAAATAATTACTAGCAGAATTTTTTGATAATGTCCATGAATAAGGATTCACCTTTGGTAGAAAATAATTAAAACCAATTTTATATTCCTTTTATTAAATAAATGTATCCCATTGTTTAAATGTGTTTAAAACATATTTAAAATCTATCACTTCTAGAGTACTTTAATTAGGAAAAATAGTGTCAGAAATTTATACAAATAACATAGTCTTCTGTTTGGTAAATAGCTAACCCTAACTAAAGCAAATTAAAAAGGAAATTCTATGGAACACATTGCATCTTCTTTTAATTAATAGAGCTTGCCTTATAATATGATCTCAAATGATCATTTCATTTGATAATAATACCAACTTTTGTTATTTAGCTGAGGTTTATCTTTGATAAGATGTAAAATCTCTACCGATCTAATTAACTTTTTTCATACAAAGTTATACTGTTAATAATATCAATAATACCATGGATATCATGGGGGCAGAGGCTGGTGTTATGTAATAAAATGTTTTCTTTTATACGTTATGTTTTCTAAGTTTACTTCTAAAAAGAAAAAGTACAGAGGGAAAAGTCAATACGAATAAGACAGAAAGCATTCCCTTTGTTATTTCTCAAAGCTTCTAGGTACAGGCACATCTCAACTATTTTGAATTCACTCTTCTTTGGGAACTGATTTCAAATTTCATGCATGCATGATTTTCTTTTTAGTATTTTTTTATACAAGGTACTTAAAATTTTTTTCAGAACAGGAAAATATATTAACTCAGAGAAATATATTGTTGAAGTTTATACTGATACCTGAATCGACCTGAACTCTGCTCTTATATGTGGTTTGAACCTCTGCTTTCAGAAAAGACCAGTCTCAGCTGTAGCCACATGCTGTTACATTTAAATGCACAACATCCATAACAGAAGTGTCTGTAATTCTAAAAGCAATTGTCATAGAAAGAGGAACTGTGGCAATACAAATACACTTCAGAAAAGCTATTTCACAAATCATTATTTAAATAATTTCCTATTCCAACTCTTCATCAAAATATACAGTTTCTCCAGAAATGCTACAACCATAAGAGTAAATGAACAAAAGACCTCAAAATTAAATAATAGAAAGATTCAGACAATTTTCCACTGTAATGGGTTAATCATACAATTGACTACATGAATGGGTAAGGATTTGTTTAAATGCAGATGTAATAAGCAATACTTTTAAAATGATGTTTTTATTCCCTCAATGAAAAGTCTAAATTCATTTTGGTGAAAGAGTTGGAAACAAAAGCTCAGATAACATAAAGAATCCAGTTTTCTTACAGTGACATCTAAAATCATGCAATACTAAAGACAGCAATGATGCTAAATGTGAATATAGTTTACAAAGAATAAGAAATAATCACATAAAAAATATATTAGAACTTTGGGGGGCTAGGTCTAGCAATTATATCTTGAAAATAGTAACAGTTATATGAAAAAAAGATAAATACTATATAAATGGTGAATGGGACTCACAAAAGAAACAGTTTGTCACAGATTTAACCCTCTCTAAAGAATGGAATAACTTTTTACCTGAGGAGAACAGGACAACCCACACTTAAAGGAATTTAAGACTTATCTAGTCATATACTCATAGAATCTCAAGCTTGGAAGGGCCCTGAAATTCTGACAATTTTCTTCATTTTAGAGATCAAGAGAACACTTGTCAACATCACATTAAATTACTTCTTAGGAAGGCTACAGAGTTTAGGTGGTCAATGTGGAGGGTAAAACAGAGGGACCCAGGCTAACAATGTGACATTAAAAGGAGAGCATGGCCAGTGAGAATGCCTGAATGGACTTCCTCATGAGCAAAAAGTGGACAACACGCGAGGTCAATGGAAAAATTCAAGGTCACATGCCAATATGAAGAGAGTTCAAGCCAGAAAACTGAGACTAGCATTTTCAATTACAGAGAAGATGTTTACATCCACAGGGGAAGGATCAGTTGATCCAAGAGCAAGGGCTGAGTATCATCTGCTCAGAAATTCAGTAATTTCACCTATACCTACAAAACTGGTATGTGTGAGCTGCTCCTAATACAAGATTACACTTTATCCTTGAAGTAAAAATTATTAATTAATTAATTAGTTAATTAAAACAAACATTTTAGAAGAAATAATCTAAAAAGAAAACATCTAATAAAAGCTGATGATTTTTGATTCTTTATGTCACATTTCAAATGATCTAAGTTTAAATTCTCTGAATAACCTAGGAACCAAAGAAACAAAGATTCAGTGAGGGAAAGGTCCTAAGTTTACTAAAAAATGTTATTTATAGATTAGGTGATCGATACCTAAGAAAAGCAGTATTTATTTCTAGATATTTTATTTTCTTAAACTGATATTAAATGGTATAGTGTTTTAAGTTTCATTTTCTAATTGTTTCTAATATAAAGAAAAGGAAGAAATACATTTATATTGACCTTATATTTAGCACAAGTTTGAACTTGTGCTCAATTTTATTCACAATTTCAACTACTGTATAGTAGTATTACCACTATTATTAGTAGTATTTTTATTATTAATGAATGTTTAACTTTATAAAAACCTTTGGCTTCACCTATGAAAATGAATTTTGATTTTTCTCCTTTTCATTTTAAAGTAATTATTTTTTCTGGATTTGCTTTGACAATATTTTATTTATGATATTTCTATGTTCATGAAAGAGAATATCTATAATTCAAATTATATCTTTCTCAGGTTTTGATTTCAAAGTTTGTTGTCAGCATAAAATGAGTAAAAAACTGATTGCCCTTTTTTCCTTTTTGATACAGTCTATTTTGATTATCATTCCATTTAACTATTTTCAATTTTTATTACTTTATTGGCTCATTGTTTATTTAGAGGTGTCTTTCTTCATTTCTGATGGAGTTTTTCTAGCAATATTTTTGAATTAGTATCTTGCATTATTTTATTGTAATAAAAATGAGACCAATTCTTTGAAAATTATTAAAACTTGCCTTGTGGTCCTGGTAAATTTTGGTCAATGTTTTGTGTAAGTTTTGAAAGAATGCATAATCTAAAGTTGTTCAATGCAATGTTCTATATTTGTTAAACAGTAAAACTTCTTAATTGTGGTATTCAATTTTCAGTTTCCTTAAAAAAATTTTATGTGATTATTCTATCAGTTTCTGACAAAAGCATACTAAAACTCTCAGCACAATAATCTCAGTAGACATTTCTTAAATATTTTGGTGATTTTATTTTAACATAAATATTGATATATACTTCTTTAAGTTTACATTATATTTGTCTGCTTTTTATTTTTCTACTTGTTCCATATTTATTATCTTATTTCTTGGTTTTTAAAAAAATTACCATGACTTCTACCTAGCTATTATAAATTTGTGTACTAAGCTTTTCTCTTTTATTTTACCTATCTTGTGTTATAAAACAAAACTATATCTCAAGAGCAAATATGAAAATTTGTCATTCTAACTTTGAATTTTAAAAACTTTACAGAAATTCACAGGGTTATTTTGGAAATATTAAATTGGTTATATACTTCATATTTTATTAAGTTTACATTTTAGTTTTTAAATATGCCTTTCTAGAATCCTTGAAAATAGGTCCTATATAAAAAGATTTTTTCCCTTTATCTTTTTATCATAAAATATAAAAAAGCAAGATAAAGTCACATGCAACAATTTTGTAAATGTGTGAACTATTTAATTGAATGAACATTTTAATAAACATAATAAAGGTTGAGAAATAAAACTGTCAACATCACTTTATTTAGGAGTATTTTAAATTCCAATTTCTATTATCTTGTTAGTTACATAGTCTTTTACTATTTTATTAAACTAAAAATTACTGTATTCATTCTTGACACATAAAATCTATTATAAATTAGTATTTTCTCAATTACCCCAAATTTAAGGAGTTTAGAATATTTTAACTTTGTCTCCTTCCTTCTGATACCTTGTTCCCATGTATACTATGTATATTTTAAACCCCAGAAAATGTTCCTTTGTTTTCTATTCATTCATTAATAATTTATTGTTAACAATATATTTACTGATTGCTTTGGTCCTTACGGATTCTTACCACTCCAAGATGCCAATTTGATTATTTTCCTTTTTCTTTTTCCAAAAAAAGCTTTAATGTGTGTATTGGCAAGGAATTGTCACTTTTTTGTTGTCGTTGTTTGTTTTTGCCTAAATACGAGTTTTTCTTGTCTTTATTTTTAAGGACTATTTTTGGTACACAAAAGAATTCATGGTTGTGAGATAGTATCTCTGGCTCTTGGATTTATCTTTCCTTTTTTTATTTTATTTTTTTAATATATCATTCTTCCTGATTAAATAATCAGCTTTTGAAATTGTTCTTTTAAAGGTTTTGAGTATTATTTTTATATTCTACATACTAATCCTTCTTTGGATAAATGGTGTGCAAGTATCTTTTCCCACTATATGGTTTTTCTTCTTATCCTCTTAACAGGGTCTTTCAGAAAGCAAAAATGTTTAGATTTGATCAAGTCCAGTTTATCATTTTTTTTTCTTTTATGGATTATGTTTTTGGTGTCATCCAAGAACTCTTTGCCTGGCACTACATCCGTTTTATCCCCTAACAGTATTATGTCTTTTTTTCCTAGATGTTTTAAATTTTAAACTTAATTTTATTTCAATTCATCTAGGTAAAGTTATTTTTGTAAATGGTTGCTTAGATTTTTGTTTTTGTTTTTTTCTATGCTTCTTGAATTTTTGACTTGTTACGTGCCAACAGTATGGAAAAAATTTCAGTCATGAGCTCCTCAAATATTACTTCTGCCCAATTCTCTTGTTTAATATCCCTCTGAGAATTGGATAACTTGTGTATTAGACCTGCATGTTCCATATCTTTCATATTCTTATTAATGTTTTCTATCTTCTTGCCTTTCCATGCTTTAACATGAATATTTAATCTAACCTACTTTCCAGTTCACTATTTTCTCTTCAGCTATGTCTAATCTGATGTTATTACCAAAATTGAAATCCTATATTAAGTGGCTGTATTTTTAAAATCTAAATTTTCTATTTGCATGTTTAACATTTTTCTCAATTGTACTTGTATAATATATGTTAAGAAAATAATTCTAGGATGTGTGCATCCATTTCTAACACAATTGAAGTACGATTTGCTAAGTAATTCATTATATATCTGTACCATAAAATACTGTTTTTGAAATGGTGATATGGAAAAATATTTAAGCACTGGAAGTGATAATCTTAATACATTGCTAAGAGTAAACCAGATAACCTGTAAATACTTTCAAATATAATTTTCAGTCATTTTGTCCTCATTCACATTTTCTAATTTTCTTGTGAGAAATGAATATGAGAAAATTTCATGTTTTTACATAAAGTGCCCTCCATATATATATATATATATATATATATATATATATATATGTAAATACCTCCCCTGGAAATATTAAAAACATATAATCAATGATAACTTTAGCAAGCCATAGTTGATTATCCCTCATACACAAATACACAAGGCAATGTTTCTCAGGACTATAATTTTGTCACAAGCTTCAAAATGATTTAAAATAATTTTGGATGATATATTTATTCTGGTCATTATATGAGACTGTCAGACTCACCAGAGGGGCTCTCTTTACTTGTTTGATGAAGTAAGTGGCCATGTTGGGGAACCCATATCACACACACACACACACACACACACACACACACACACACACACAAACTCTGGGTGACATTTCAGAACTCTGGGGAACACTGAAGAGCCAAGGAATATCCTGAAGCTCTCAGGTCTGCAGCTGAAATTAACTGAATGCTACTGACAACCACGTGAGCTCGGAAGAGATCCCCAAGCCTCAGGTAAGAACTCAGCTTGACTACGTCTTATGAGACTCCTGCAAAGACCTAGCTAAGCCATGAGCAGAATTCTGATCTGCAGAAACTATGAGATGAAAAATGTGTGTTGTTTTAAGCTGCTAAGTTTGTGTAATTTGTTACACAGCAGAGAAGACAGATGCACATTCCCTTCCCATGTCCCACTTGCTTTATGGGCGTCAAAACACTGGCCTCCCTTCGGAATTGTCATGCTCCTTTAACTGGCTGCCATATTACATCCAGATTCATGTCTTATGTTCAAGCTCTTCTCTCCATCCTTCCCTCTCCCCACCTCCACCAATCATTCCCACTCTTCATGTTAAAACCTAATCATCTTCTAGTATCAATATCACTCAATGGCCACTGTATGTGATTCCCTCATTCCATCCAAAATATGTAGACCAGGCCAGTCTCTCCTCCCCACTCTAGTCCCTAAGCTTCATTAGGACAGGAAGAGTTCACTGTTTCCTCCTCATTTAACACAGGGCTGTACCAAAACCATTCAATATCATTTTATTGGTATAATAAATGTATACATGAATGAGTTCATTTGTTGAATTACATTTGGGATCTGGAGAAAATGTATTTTCTATGAGTCTCAAAAAATCTATTTGGTACTTAAAATAAAGCTTTATAAAATTATCTTTACTAAGCACAAAAATAACACTGGGGGATCTTTGAGGATTATACCTAAGAATAATAGAAATAGAGCTGCTTATTTTTCTTCCATTCAAATGCTAGGAAGGAAAAAATTAACTTACCTGGCCAGGCTTAGAATTTTCACAGACAACAATATCATATTCCCTGGCAAGTTCGGGTGGATTGTCATTGACATCCAGAACTCTAATAACCACTGTGACATGGCTCAGCAAACTCGGATTGTCTGCAAAACACATAGGAATGCATTTAGTATTTCCATGCATACTTTAGAGGCTTGGTTTAAAACCAATCTCCTTAATACTGTAGCTTGTCACTAGCCCCATATGCTGCAGCAGGACTTTTGGCAAAAGACAACTTTATGATGGCATTCTTTGTTAGAACTCATTAACTTACAGAAAAATGAAAAATGAACACCAAGGCATGACATGAATGCTAAAATGATATTTTGTCATATCAAGGAAATTACATGTTATTCAGGAACTGAAATGGGAGAAAGTTGTCAGAATTCATTGTATGCTGTCAGAGTCTAAGGGATGAACACCTGGCTTCATCATTAATCTAAGAAAAATAGAGTAGTTGGAAAAAAAATACATAATCTTTAAAACATTCAAGGTTTCCAGTCTAAATCAACTTGGAGAAAATAGAAAGTAAACTTCTTTATACCAGGGTAAAATTTTTCTTACAGGAGAATATATGCAGTTTGTGGTGTCAAGTCATATTTGGGGAAAAATAAATAATAATTTAAATTAGAACTTAGCATGGAATTCATATATAACTCTGGTAAACATCAAAATATTACAGTTAATATTTTAAAATACTTCTTGAGTGCAGTCTTCTCATATTTCAGTAAGTTTATTAGTTCTGAGATATAAGAAAAGATAAATGTTTGGTTTATTTTATACATCAAAGCTAAAACTGAAGAATTCATAATGGAAAAATTAATGAGAAGGCAAAAACTAAACACATTAGGAAAAAGGGAATATATATATACCCACAGAAGATATTAAAGATAATCGATTTTTAAATTATCCATTTTTAATTATCCATTAAGAATATGGATGGATTAGACATGCCATAGGTACTTTTAAAAGAAGTAGAAAATCAGAGTAGTACTTCAATAACTAAAGAAACTCAATTTTTAAGTAAAAAATCAGGCCTAGGTAGTTTTATCTACAGTTAAAGATACAGGTGACTTCAGTCTTATACATCTTTTCCCCAGAAGACAGAGTAAGGAGGAAATACTCTACAACTTGTTTTTTTGTGGCCAGTAAAACTTTAATATCAATACCATATGCTCCCACTCATGAGCAATATTAGCTGTCATTGGACTAAACAAAATAATACCAAACCCACTCTACTGGAATGGAAATGAAAGTCTGTCATCAGTTTAGTTCTAGGAATGTTTGCATAGTTTGGCATTAAACCAAGGAAAGAAAGAAGGGAGGGAGGGAGGAAGGAAGGAAGGAAAGTGGGAGGGAGAGAAGAAATGAAGAAGGGAATTTTAAAAAGCATAAAAGTTATCCAAAACGATAATGAATTAAAAGAGGGACAAAAAATACATAGATGTTTATCCTAATACACATAGAAAAAAACAAAAAATAAAATTTAATGTCCATACATTCTAAACAAAACAAAGCAAAATCAAAAAAGAAAACTCTTTGCAATCTAGGAACAGAATGTATCCTCTGAAGCTGATTAAGGATACATTCAACAAACAACAAAAAAAGTACAAAAACATTATTCTTAATGGTCAAAAACTAACAAGAGTTAATAAACAAAGCTATAAGGATCATTGAAATAAATCTAACAAAGTATTTGAAAGACATATGCAAAACATTTTATTGAATGTCATTAAAGTAGATCTAAAGTAATTAAGAGGTATATTGCCTATGTGGTTGGAAGACAAAATATCATAAATAAAGCCAGCTTCTCCAAATTGATGTGTATTTTTGATGTAATCTAATAGACATCCAATGAGAAATGAAAGCTGATTCTAAGATTTATAAGTACTAAGATTGTCCAGACTTGAATGAAGTACAATAAAGGATAATTGCTTTACCATTTATCAAGCCTTATTATTTGGTATTAGAACCTAGGTCACTTTGAAAGTGTCAAAGGGATAGACAAACAGAAACAGAAAACAGAACACAGCCACAAATCTACTATATATAGAAATTTAATATATGGTAATAATGCTATTGCAGATCAATAGGGAAAGTACAGTTTGATCAAGAAATAGTTTTAGTAAAGCTTGTAACCACATCATTATCATCATTATAAAATGGGCCATAACTACACTATACACAAAAATACATTTTAAATAATTAAGGACTTAAATGTATAAGGCAAAAACTATACATACTTTAGAAAAAATATTAGCATGTAATATATTAAAGCTCATGAAAGATTTCAAAATATAAAAATGCACTAATCATAAAGGAAGCATTGATAAATTTGATTACAGTGAAATGTGACTTTTTTCATTTCCTCCAAATATGCCACAAAGAAGACAAAATGTCACAAAATGAGTGAAAATATTTGCAGCACACACAACTGACAAAGGATCTGTATCTCTAATATATAATGCAATGTATTGAATCAATAAGAAAAAGAGACAACTCAATATAAAAATGGGTACAACGAAGGACAAACATTTAACAGAAGAAGTAATATAAATGGCAAATAAACGCCAAAGTTTTCAACATCAATAGTATTTAAAGAAATACAGCTTAACCAAAATAAGTTATCATTTAATCGCAACAATATTGACACAATATCAAGAAGTTTGACAAGATTCTCCAAGTGCTGGATTGGATATAGACCAATGGGAATGACTGTAAATTAAAGTAAACCACATGTAATAATTCATACGGTTGTATACTCTCATGTCCAAGATCCAGCCATTTCCTTGGATCCCAAGGAAAATGTCTTGAAAACATACACCACCAGCATAATTAATAGGAACAACAACAGGAAATTACAAATGTCCAACAATGGCTGAATAGATGCAATATGTGATTATTTATATCATAGAGAAAATAAATGAATAGCAACATAGCTACAACATTAGGGACAATCTTAGAAACAAAATGTTGATTGAAATATTTTTTCAGAACTGTCTCAGAAGATTGCATTCAAATATGGTAGAATTTTTGCAAAGCTGAAAAAAAATCACACAAAACTAAATAACTGATTGCAGAATGAAATAGTATATTGTTGAGGATATGTTCCTAACAACACTAATTCTTAAGTACAGTGATATGTTAACATTTATTTATTATTATGTTTTGCAATATCTTCTTTGTAAGTGTTGAGTACTACATTAAATATACAGAAAAAAGTTACAAAAACATCTTAAAATTAATATATTGTGTAGATTGCTTAATATATAATAGCTAATAGAAGTGGCATTAATGAATTTTTGTCACTATACAGTGAAAGATAATTAGATGCTTGTGTATTATATTAGATAATTAATTAATATAATATTTTATATTATAAAGATAAATAGATCCGTGAAATTAAAATTAGTAAAATGCTAATTTAAATATTTGCTTATTTAGAGTTACTTATTATGAAAAAGCATTGCTAAGCTTTTCTAGAAGCTAATACTTGATCTTTTAATAATTTTAAAACTGAAAGAGAATATTCAGCCTGAAATCTCATTTAGTAAATTACAAAATTGAAATTGACACTGTTTAAATGACATATCTTGACAAAGCCAAGGTTATGGTTTACTTCTCAGGCCTTACTACTGTCACTATATAAATATATATTTTCTATCGTAACCATTGTTAGTGTAGTCCTATATTTCTCAACCAGGTATTTGCTTACATTTAAGAGCAGACAAAAGCAATCTGTTCCAGAAATCTGAGGCAAGAATAATATTAGTTTTAATCATTGGTATCAGCAGCCTTAAAATGAGTAAATAGTTCTCTGCTCCTTTTCTGAACAGGAAGGATTAGAAGCAATCTTGGCGTATCAGAAAACTGTTTTGTAAGAGAGGATTCTGGAAAGACTGTATCTTGAGGAAGGACTAGAATAAAAAAACACCTAAGCATTTGACTGTTTTCAAGCATCACCTTCTCACTGCCCCACCTCTGCATTGCTCACGCTGTCCTTTGAAACTGGCATAGCCTGGCTACATTCCATACTTGGGTACAGGAAACTAAATCCTTCTGGATGGAAACAGACTCTCTCCATGTTGCTCCAATGTTATTGTATATCTCTAGTGTACAATTACTATTCCATCACTTAAGGATTAAAAGTACAGGGCTGGGATCAGACAGATATTGATTTGTCTGTAGGCTTACTACCATTTTGTGTTCTGTGGGGAAGTTAAACTGAATCTAACCTTACTGTAGATGCAGCTAATGATCTGTAGGACATGTAGGGGAACCTCAGGAGATATGGATAAAGAGTTATGAAAAACAGAATGTCAGAGTAAGCTTAACGTCATTACTGATGCAAATTGAATAATTGCTGTCTATTTCCTAAAAGTAGGATGGTGTATAAAACCTGTAGCATTAAATTCCAGATAATTAGAGCTGAAAACCCACTATAGTTTTGTAACCACTTGTGGCCAACCTACACTCATTCTAGTATTTTCTGCTCAATAATGAAATTAGCTAAATCTATATTAGTAAATTGACAAGTTCCTTTGGGTTTTTATTTCTTATTTCCCACAGTCCTAGGGTTAGTATTCTACCCTTTGAATGCCAATCACTTTACCTATAAATGTGAACATATTCATGTGTGTGAGAAGCACTTTGCTAAGGCAAAAATTGGATAATGTCGCTGGAGTTCTTAATGCAACATTTCTATTATTGCTACTATTATTTTTAGGTCCATGCTTCATTTCTAAAAATCAGTTTTCAGTCCTCTTGATGGCAGAGTAAATAAAATACACCATATTCAGACAAACGTCAGTAGGAGGTCCTTTCCAGAACTCTTAAGAAACATGAACTTTGGAAAGTTATTTGTTATTTCTATACCTTAATTATTTAATCTGTAAACAGGAATAAGAATCATGTAATGTGCAAAACTGTGTTTTTGAGAAAAAATTAAGGAAGCTATGTAAACTTTAAAACACTGAGACTGGGAGAGAGCAGAATACCAATTTTAATCCTTTCTGAAAATGAAGGACAAAACAGAATCAAGAACAAAATAGATGGCACACTGACAATCCTATACATGTGATTTCCAGCACAAACTATCCTGTAC